TCTCTGTGACTTCACTGAAATCGACCAAATTGAACCCATTCTCACTGCTGGGAGCCTGAGATGCTTCCCTTGTACTTGGCTTCTGTCATGTGTGCGTTGTCCCCACATTGTTGGTTCTGTGGCCATTGAAGGGCATGTAATGTTGCCTGAGTTCTGAGCAATGGTGAAGAAGAAAAGTAGATATTTTCTTACTAGAAAGGGGTGAATTTCTGTCTATATAGATTCCATAATACTGTCATCAGAAATAACACAAATATGTAAATTGATCTTCACTTTAATCACAAAACTGATGTACAAACCATGTATTTAAACAAAATTTAATTTAGCTCTGTTTTGGGACTTTTCTTAGGTGTTCTGCAATTTAGCTTTGCCTACATTAAAGCAGATAGAAAGATGGGGTGCACCCTGTACCTTCTTGGGCCCTTGAGCAAGAAGTGGGGAAAAATACAAGGAGACAATTGCTTTCATAGAGCTCCTAGACTGCATAACATATTTTGCTCAAAAAAAGTTCTTATTTCAATATCATACCTCAAAACCTTTTGGATATTACCCAGTATCTGGTAACTCAGTCGTTACTGCTTGAGAGAATTTGAATAATTGAAATTTAGAATTGGATTATTAGAATTAGGTGTATTAGAATTATTGAAAAATCAGCATTTAACTTATTCAAAAATCAGGGTATTGCTATCCTTTCTGTACACTAGAATATCACTTACTTTATTGTGTAAAAGAGTTGTTTCCATCAGTACTAAGCAGCACACATCCATAATAATTTTTAAAGTAGGAGGAGCTATTTTATTTTACTAATTAACATCAAGGTAAAGCATATCAGTATAAATTATTATTTTATAATAAAGCTGTATAGGCACAACAGAAACCCCATGCATTCTAAATAAAATTTGAAACTTTAACTCTCCTGAAACTGATTTTTTTCTCCTAAACAAGCACTATTTTGAGAGTTTTTCACACACAAAAAAAATCTGACAGATTTCATCTAATTGCGAGTGTTTGCTTTTTAAGTATTAAAATTTCCCCTACATTGAAAAATCTAACCTGAATTAATCAAAGTGCTAATGATGGAGATAATTTTTGGCTGTTCAGGCATCCTAGAGTCAGAGCCCCTGGCCAGAGGGTCAGGTGTGATTTGCTTAATCCTGCATTAGTTGCTTCAACTTTCTTCCGATACCTCATAAGTAGTATCTTTCTGATAATTTGGGAGTTTGAGCAAGTATTTAGTATCTGGCTAAATTGTCTCTGTGTTCTTTGCCTGGGCAGTGTTCTCTGCAGCCTCCTGCTTTGTGGAGGTGGAAGTAGAAGCATCAGTTTAGGAGGAGAGGCAGTGCAGCGGTTCCAGGGCCACCTAGGTTTGATGGAGAGGGAAAGGGGAGACGAAATCAGCCAGTGACATCCATTCATTCCTTGAGGCAGGAGTTTTTTTTCTGCCAGCTATCAGCAATTAATATTTTCACGACCAAAGAGAAGGAGGGAGTTGTTGAGGAGCATGATGAAGGTGCATGGATACCACAGCACATGTGTTGGGCAAGAGGCTGTCACAGAGCCGCTGTTAATTTGTGTTCCCAACACCCTGCTCTGATAAATGTTACCTTAATTGTAGTGTGGGACTGCCTGATTAAGTGCTCCCCATGAGTCCCTGACACTGCAGTGGAGCACGACCAGTGGATGAGTCAGCCCTGTAATGCCTGCTGGGAATCTGGGTGTCCATGGTAGCTTGCTGGTAACCCAAGAGCAGGCACCTTTTTTTAGGTTTCTCCCTAATGGAGAGGCAAAAATTTGAGGAGACATGACAGCTCTTGACAGTGAAAGGGAGATAGAGTTCCCTCCATCAGGAAAAAATAGCCTCTTCTATAAGAATGAGTGGTTAGAAAAACGAAAAAATAAGCATTTTCAATATATTACAAACAAAATTATCTGCCAAAAGGGCAAGATAATTATCCTAATGTGATTTTTGACCAAGATAAATTTATATTATTCTATCAACTGGGTAACAATTTGAATCTTATGCAAAACCTAGAAATAAATCTAAAAAATATGATAATGTAATAAAATTGAAATTATTAGCAGTCCAAGTGCCATACTAGAGGCAGTAAAATCTTATAAGTTCCAATGGAAAATAGGCTAGTAAACCTGGAGTAAGTTACTTTACTTTAATCACTTGATAAATAGCTACAATGTTTGGAAGAATTGATAGTGTCATTATAGCAACATCCCTTTTTATAAACAGCCTGGTGCTGATTTGATTCTAATTGCTGCCAGAGGAAAAGTATCAAAGTAGTATTACTCCAGCAGTGTAACCTGTGTGGTGAGCAGGAGGAGGATTAGCTGCCTGAAATGAAGAAAGTTCTGTTTTTTCAAAGACACAGATTCTAATTCTGGGAGTGATGGAGGAGGCTGAGTAAATTCAGCGGTAACAGAAACTACAGAGGAAATGCTTAATGAAGAGAAAGCATAAAGTAGGCAAGACAGGCTCTTCTGAGTGAAAAAACAGTGAGAGAAGTTGAGAGGTTTGAGCATGAACGTGTGTTTGTTTTCTCACCAGAAAGGAATCTCCTGCTGGGCCAGTGTCCCCATTGCCAAACCACAGCTCTGACCTCCCTGGTGCTCGCCTTTGCTCTACCACAGGCATGGCCTCATTCACAGCCCCTTTCTCTTATGTGACTTTCCAATATGGGTATCTTAATTTTTTGCAAGCCTAGTATCAGACACCAAAGGCCTAATTTTTAAGACATTCTTAATAATTACAGCATCTTTGTATACAAATGAGCAGCGTGTCCACCTTTTGGTGCCCATGAATGTACCTAAGAATGAAGACTGCTTTGCCAAATTTCATCTTTAGCAATTCTGTCTCTACACTACAAATCCTGGATTTTACCCTTCTTCTGCTGCAATGCTATGGAGGAGGTATCAGCATTATACTGATGACTGCTATGACATTTGAGGGCAATAAATTTACATTTATGTGGAAAAAAACCTAGAACACATGCTCCCAGGCTGAGTCTTCTTCCAAAAGCTGACAAGAAGTTGTCTTATTTTGGGAATGGTAGGGAGAAAAGCAGGGTTCCATAAGGAGGGAAGAGGAGGAACATGTTTAATAGTTTTGTCATGTTAGCAACAAACCCAAGAATAAACAGAAATGCAAAGGGGAGAGCTATTTATCTTTTTACACAAATCATGTGATAAGCTTCTCCCATAGATTGTGGACTAAGTGAAATATGTAAAATAGCTTATTGAAGAAAAAATTGCTTCAAGTGGGGCTGAATGGCTCAAGAGATTAGTGATGGGATAATAGCTTTTCTCCATTTAAGTGGTAGACCAGTTCAAATCAATTCTAGGTCCCTAGAGACTGGAAGGTGTTGCTATCCTGTGACTCCTTCACAGTTATTTGAAATGATTTCTTGGTCTCAATTCCATCCTTAGTTGCCAGAAAATTATCCCCAACCCAATCAGCACTGAATTACCTTGAGCTAACTGTTGTATCCCTCTAATGATGCACAACCCTCAAGGTTGTGTTATGAATGAAAGTTGTTTTATTTAGCACTACATTCCTGGTTAGAAATACTTTGTCTTCCCTGAAATGGACAGATTGCACAAAGGAAGAGGCAACTTGGAATATGATGCAATGTAAAATCATTCTTTAAATAAATGTGATGATTTGGTCTTTTAATGTGGATCTCCTGGGAGAACAGGGCTACACTTTCAGCTGCCCCTCACTTGCACCCAGAGCCTGCCTGCCTGCAGGCTGTGTCACGACTTTCTCCTACATCAGTGGTAATCATGGAACAGGGCCACAACTTAGAAAATAGCTATTGGTCATAAGTAACAACTAGAAAATTCAAACTGGCAGCGTGCCCTCCAGGTTTGTTTTGAAGCATCTATTTAATGTGTGAAGCTGGACCACTGAAGTGATGCTAGGGACATACCAACTTATGGCAGCTCAGGATCTTGCCTATCAATTTTATTCTGAAACATTATAATGAGTAAAATAGCAGACGTTGATTACTCTGCCAAATGCAAAGATTAGTAAACAAGTAAGAAGCAATTCTAACCAAGCCAAGAAGGACTGGGGTCTTTTAGTAGCTCTAACAGTAGGTCTAGAGCTGGTGAACCACATCAGAATTCGTATTATTCAGTGTACCAAGGAAAAAAGACACGTGGGGTTATTAGAGAAGTATCTCAGCAATTCTGTGTGTCTGACTCCTTGGAAAAAACAAATAGAATATTATGACAATACAAAGGTGTTGGAGAATTGAAATCACATGTTTATAGCCACATTTTCTATAGAACTGTTGCAATAGAGATTTGGTTGCAGTTTCCATACAGGAAAAATTTTATTTTTGCCTTAACCCAGACAGCTCTAGGTTTAAGAACACTCATCAGGGTGGAAGGCTAAAGGGGTTAAGGAAATAAGGCATGATAGAGGTGACCTATGGGAACTTTCATTATTATGTGGAGCCTTGATGAGTGAAATGAGAGGAACTGCTCTCCGTCATGAAAGGCTGAAATGTCGAGGGAGCAATCGCAAATTAATCTATTAAGAATAAGTAGGAGGCTGAACAGTGTGACTCAAAAGGGTGGAAATATATGAAATAAACTGCAGTGTAAAATCACAATGGCTTCTAAACACAATCTTAAAGACAGCCATCTATGATTTTTACAATGAAAGAGGGATTTCTGTATGTGTGTATATGTGAGGCAGAGGTTAAGCAAATTAAATTGTTCTCTTTCTATTTGGGTACTCCTAATATTTGTAATGACCAGGTCTGAATGAGAAGTTGTGTTCCTATTTGTGTGGCTTTAACTAGAACAATATGTCAGGAATTTTTGAGGGTTTTTTTAAAAATATACAAATAAAATGCCTCGCAGGCAGTTTTCTGTGTGATGATTTTCCTGTTTTGATGTGACATTTTTAACCTGAATTTAGTGTTTGTAAAAGGTGCTATTTGATGACATAGTGTAACTGAAAGCCTCTTTTTTATTGACAGATCGTGCACACTCAAGGCTGGAGAAATTCCTCTGTTTCAGACTGGCGAAGTACACCCCCACAGCCTGAAGAAATGAACTTCCAGGAGGAATAATGGTAGGTCCATGTCAGTCAGTCCAATATTAGGTTAAATGTTGCTGCATGATTATTTGTAAAGAGTTCACAACCAAGGGATTTGAAGAGAGGCATGAAAAGTTACCCAACTGACAGGACTGTATGGGTTTTTTTCTCTGCTCACTAGCAGTGGTTGCAGCTTTCTGGAGTGTTAATGCTTTATTCACTAGTGGATGAACTGAGAGTTGACAAAGGTTACCAAGTGCATTTTGGTGGAGCTGATCCTGTAGGATATATCCACCCCTCACTGTGGTACTTGGGAAGTGAGGGTCTGTTGTCTGCTCGGTGCCCACCTGCGATGCCAATCTTTAGGCCTCAATGTTAATCATTTCACAAAGCTCACGTAGTTTCAGACTTCTACCTTTGCCAGCTTATTATAGTCTAGGAAGATGAGATGTGACTATGCTGAGATACAACCCCCAGTGATGGCACTTTATAATACTGTATAACTGGAGGATTGCTATTGTAGGCAGAGAAAAAGGCAATAAAGCAGCATTGATATCCTGCCTGCCCTCTTACAGGAGTTATTGAATCAAACCTACCAGAACTGCCAGACAAACAATTTGCAGCTGCAGTCTGAAGCCTGACAATGACACAGAATCAAAAAGAAATAGTTGGAGTGCATGGGCTTGTGAACTCCTCTGCGACCCACCACAGCAGGCTCCCTAGGATTGTTCTCCTCTTTCTGGTCCTTTCCCTCTACAATTCCTTCTCTTTACCTCCCTTTCCTCTCTCCCATTTTCTCTCCTATGTCTTGCCATTTTCAGGTCCTCACACCTTTTCCTTTCTCTCTTTCATTTCCTCACTATTTCCTTCTGTTGCCTCCAATATACCTCTTACTTGTTTTTATTTTGTGAGTTCAAGTGCTCTCCTGTGTTTCTCATTGTTTCCATTTCTGTAATTCTTTCTTGGTTTTGATTAATTTAATCCTCTCCCCCCCAGTTTCCCATACTCTCTCCTATTCTCCCTTCTCTGCTGTACTTTTTTTCTGTTTCATTTCCCTCTCCGTTTTATTTCTCATTGTTTCTTCTTCTTCTTCTCCTCCTGCCAATTCTTCTACCTTTATTTTTCTTGAACCACATTTAGCCAGTAGCTGAGCTCTGTGTTGCTCTTACTCCTCAAATGTGAGGATTTAAACATTTCCAGTGCACTAGGATTTCCAAAGTGCCAATCCAGCTCAACTAAGGGGAACTGATGTGGTTGGGCTCTGCTGTCTATGAAGAGAGATACTGCAAAAGCCAGCGTAACCGTAGCACTCACCAATACTCTCTGGCTCGTGACCCTACGCTCGTAGTTGGATTCAGAGCTTACCAAATTAATGGGTTCTGGATCAGGTACCATCTTCCTGTCCTTTATTTCAATAGAAATCTCAATGCTCTCAATTTCCTGTAGTGTACAGTTTTCCTTCGTCTCAGGGGACTGTGGTAATTTTTTTTGTGTTTTAGTTTGTTTTTAAATAATTTTTTTAAGGCACGTATAAAGTATGCAGGGTTCAATGAAAAAGGGCCATACTATGAAATGTGTTCAGGCTCCTATATATATATATATATATAAAATAATTCCTAGTTTTTGCATGCTTGTAACAATTATCTACTATTTGAAGAATATTTTTCCATTCCCTTTCTTCTCTTCTAACCACTGTCTAACTATTACCCTTCTAAAATTTAGATGTAGAGTCTTCTAGATGGCTGGCAGGAAGGTTGATAGTGCAAAATCTTTTTTACTTATTTTTTTTTTTCCCACTCAAGTTACAGGCTCAGGTTATGTTACAGGACTGATGGTGGATTTTTTTTTCAATTACTTTGTTTTTTTCAAGTCCCTTGGTTTACTTTATTTCTCTATTCTCTTTGCCCAACCACTTCCACTTAGAAACATAATCTGTTACTCTTCATGAGTAAACCTTATGATAGCCTTCCAGTATCTAAAGGGAGCTTAGTAGAAGGCTGGAGAGGAACTTTCCCAGGGGCAGGTGTTGACAGGACAAGGGGGAATGGTTTCAAACTGAAAGAGAGTAGATTTAGATTAGCTATTAGGAATAAATTCTTTACTGTGAGGGTGGTGAGGCAGTGGAACAGGTTACCCAGAGAGGTTGTGGATGCCCCATCCCTGTAAGCATTCAAGGATAGGGCTCTGAGTAACCTGGTCGGGCAATCTTTAAGGTTCCTTCCAGCCCAAGTCATTCTATGATTCAATTAATATTTTCCCCATTCCTTTCAAAAAGTGTTTGATATTGCTGGTTATTTATATGTTCTGTGAGAGCCCCACCACATGGTGACCTCCTGGGAGGAGGGCTGCTGCAGAGGCCGACTCCTACTGCTCTCCTCTGGGCACACCAAGGCAATCCCACCTCTGGAGGGCTCTGGAGCTGTGGAAGCTGTTGGAGAAGGGCAGCAGGGTGCTTACCATCCCATAGCTGATTACTAGCAGGCCAAGGAACCAAGTCAAGCTAAGATCTCACTGACATGATGCCACCTCTCCTTGTGTAATACTATGTATAATAGGAGCATGAGAGAAACTCTTCCTTCCTCTTCCATTTTGTTTACTTCCTTCTGTCTTTCCAGCTAATGCTCCTGTGGAGTTCAGTGCTGGTGAAAAGGGAAAGAAAACCAGCTCCTGTATAAGCAAACCTTTTCTGATCTGATTGGATTTTTCTCCTTTTGTCTGCTTCTTTATTTGATTTAAAACCTTAAACTCCTCTAAGGTTTTCCATTAAGATTTTGAGCACAGTTTGGAATGGGGAGAGCAGTCAGAGCATTACCTAAAAAGTGCCAGTTTATTTTTAGCTAATGGAAGAGGAGGGCTGATTGGATTAGGCCAGCAATGTGAGTACCTGATGCAGACTGCTATCAACACTTCAACAGCGGAAGGGTTAAGTAGAGTTTCTTTCACTTTCTCTCACTCGCCCCTTTTACCCTCTCCTGCTTTGCCTTCTTCACCCAGTAACTGACACTTGCAACAGCAGTGCAAATTCTTGGGCATGTTCTAGTACCGGTCAATACAGGAGTAAATCTCGCAGTCCCTCCTGCTGTTTCACATTTGCCACCTGACAGCAGTGGATGCTCAGAAAGACCAAGGGGTGCGGTTTTAAAGCTTCAGACTGGGTTTTAGCCATGTGACAGCTATTAAAGCAATTGGGAGCCAGGTGGCTAAAATCCAGTGCAATTCTTTGTAATGGTACCCCTGAGAGTGCCCATCTCCTTTTAGCACTACTATTGATTAGGCAATTCTTGACTTTGAGAAACAAAATTGGTGTGTGCATCAAGGTTCTTTTCCTCAATTTGGCCTGGTTTGAAATTAATCGTTCACCTTGAGCCATTATTGTAAGCAGCTTTAAGCTTTGATAAATTTCAGTGTGATTTGAGTTTTCTATCACCCTTCTCTATGGAGGCCTGTTGTTTACTAGTCTTCTCCAGGACATCTCTAGAGCTGTTTGGTCTTTATCCTCATCTCCCGCATTGATCCTGTTATGTTGTCCAGTGTGATTGTCCAAGCTTGGTAAAATGCTGGGGACTTTATTTAATGGCTGCACACAGTGCACAGTGGGCAGCACTGAGGCCAGTGGGTACTTGGTTTTCAGTAGGTACAATGCATTTTATGAGGTAGGCCATGTTATGTCTTAGCATATTGTCCAGACCCTCCCTCTGCCTCGACTAAAATGATGTGGTGTTCTTAGAGGGAGCACATAAACCGTAAGAAGTTCCTCCTAACTTCAGAGTATTTGATGTTTACTAGGGGGCAAAGTGCCACACAAAGGTACATGAATGTATACTTATGTTTGTGAGAAGGTGAAAATAAATGGATGGTAAAAAATAAGGAAGGTGCATCTCCAACCCTCTCACTTTTTGCACTTCCCTTCCAGTGTATTCCCTGCTACTCTTTATTTTTCTAAAGTGTAGGAAGATTCTTCAGCATGTCATGTCATTATTTGTGAAGAGACAGGACAGTTTCTGCATGAGGATGTGCCCTTTGCTCTGGGAGTTTAATGCATCTGTTTCTTTTAAGTGTTCTAGAGTACTCTTGTGAACTGTTAGGTAATGCTAAGTACTGCCACAAGTGATGGCATTGAATAGCTTTTTCCTGCAATAAAATCCAAGGTGAAAGCTGGACTGGACCTAGATAGAAAAAGTTCTCAAGCTGGTCCAGTACTTCAGCAGCCAGTAGGCTCTAGAAGTGTGTGAAGGCTCTAGAGTCTGCTGCTGCACCACTTCTCTCAGTGCTTCCCCTTTCCTCCTTGTAGCCCTTCTATTGCTTTCCAGTAGTCAGGCCAGAGGATATTTAGCATTTCTGTGTTGCTAGAAGAATTTTGTTGGGATGTTTGGGTGAGATTTGAAATGCAAACAAGTGAATTGGAGATGGAAAGGAAATTCAGAAACACAGGCTTCAGAAAAATGGCTGCTTCTTATTCCCATTTCTGTTCAAAATGGAATAAAGCAGCTCTTTGGGTGCCACAGTCAACCCAGGAAGTCCATCACCCCTTTGCCAAAGAATGTTGATTTAGGAGCCCCACAAGCTGTTTTATAAGACATTCCTATCTGTGTTGAGTTGGGAAGTTGTCAAAGCCCAAAACATTCTGTTTGAACAAGCTGTTGTATTCCAATGAGAAGATGTTTCATCTGAAATTTCATAGGCAGTTCTACTAAAAATTCAGCTCATCATGAGCTTAATGTGAAATGTGATGCTAAGATTACATGGACAGCATTCCTGTTGGACTGAGATGGAGCTCCGAGAAAAAGAAAAGTATGCACCACCTCTCCCATTCCAGTCAAGTTCAATGGAAGTTTTTCTGGAAGGATATTTTTAGAAATCCCAGCAGAATGACAAATTCCAAGTTCTGTTAAATATGTGTGTATATATGTGTACATGTATATATATACAATGAAATGATACAGAGCACAATTAGTGCAGAAACATGAATATTGAAAAATCCGAGGCAGATTGCCCAAGCCTGTGTAAAAATACATGCACCTTTGGTATTGGAAGCC